AGGAAGGAAGGAAGGAAGGAAGGAAGGAAGGAAGGAAGGAAGGAAGGAAATTTAAATGCTTACAAAATATTGATTGCCAGTGACTAGTGAGTTCATATTATAATCGGTAAGTGAGTATGTTTGGTGCAGTGGTTAAGGTGTCAGAAACCAGGAGATGCTGAGTTCTAGTCCTGCCTTGGGCACAAAGCCAGCAGGGTGACCTTGGGCCAATCACTCTTCTCATCCCTAGGAAGAAAGAACTGCCAAATCACTTCTAAAAATGCTTCCAAGAAAAGGGCAGGGGACAATTGGCAGGAGTCCAAAATGACTTGAAGGCACAAGTTTCAAGCATGTATGGGTAGTCCTTGGGTTACAACCATTTGTCCAACGATTGTTCAAAGTTACAACGGCACTGAACAAGGGAAACTTAGGACCAGTCCTCAGAGTTCTGGTTGTCACAGTGGCCCTGTGGTCACATGATTGCAATCTGGGCACTCGGTGCCCAGCTTGCGGCTTCACGTGATTGCAATTTCCAACATTCCCTGCCAGCTTCTCACAAGCAAAGTCAATGGGGAAGTGACAGGAAGTCAGAAGTCGCGGTCACACGAGGTCCTTGTTTCATGACCCATGTGGTCCTTGCTTAAGGATGGCAACCAGGACTGCTGGAATGGCTGTCGCTAAGTGACCTAGTCACGTGACGTCATGCTTTATAACCATGTCGCTTAGTGATTGAAATTCCAGTTCTAATTGCTCTGGTGAGCCAAGGACTACCTGTATGTGACATACTGTTATACTTTCTAGTGTCTATACTTTAACTAAGAAATATGTAAATATTTTAACATGTCACTATTACACATCTTTGCAGTTTACTCATATTCCTGTATTGTGGCATACAAATCTGCACTTGGTTTGGGAAAAACTGCATGAAACATTTTTTTCCCCCACATACTGGACCTCAGAAATTAAAGGGAACATTGCAGGGAGGTGATAAATGGGAGTAAGAGGTGAGGAGGTGGTTTATGTGATAATCTGGTACTAGGCCAGGAGGAAGCTCAGAATGGGGTGG